TTTGTGTGTGGGTGGGGGAGGGTGTGTCCATCAACCCAGCCTGCACCCTCTCCAATCTGGGACATCTCTCTTATAATCCAGGATTGCTAGCTCCCAACCACTCGCCCGCCTGCCTGATTGCCCCTAACTGCTTCTGGTTGCCAGCCTGATCACCTCCTAACCAACCCCCTGCCAGCATGATTGATGCTTAACTGCTCCCCTGCTGGCCCGATTGTCCCTAATTGCCCTCCCCTGCCAGCCTGGTCACCCCTAACTGCCCTCCCCTGCTGGCCTGGTCACTCCCAACTGCCTGAGGAATGTCCCTCCCAACTGCCCTCCCCTACAGGCCTGGTCCCTCCCAAATTCCCTCCTTTTCAGGCCTGGTCCCTCCCAACTGCCCTCCCCTTCTGGCCATCTTGTGTCCACATGGGGGTGGCCATCTTGTGTGTTGGAGTGATGGTCAATTTGCATATTACCTCTTTATTAGATAGGAAGATAGGATAGGCTTGCTTCTTGTAGTACAGGCTTGTAGCTGAAGAGCAGTAGGCGATACTATACAGCCTAGGTGTGTAGTAGGCTGTAATATCATGGTTTGCGTAAGTGCACTTGATGTTTGCCAATGATGAAATCACCTAATGAAGCCTTTCTCAGAATGAATCTACATTGTTAAGCAGATCATGACTGTAACAGTGAGATGTGTTGCCTGATGTTTTGGAATGTTAGGATTTCAGTGGTCGAATGCTTCCAGTTAATACAATTGAGGATGTGACCATGGGTGTGCACTGCTAAATACGAGTAGGAAATGACAGTCTTGAGAATTGAACATGAATAAATTTACACAGGAGAGAGGGTAGAAAGCAAGCCTGAGTTGGATGTTGAAGATGAGTAGATGTAAGTGGTTGATTTGCAGGGGTCTCAGTGGAAAAATTATTTATTTCTACCCTATTTCTTTGTTGTGTACGTTTATGATAGTATTGACCCAGAGTTTGTTGAATATCTCTTTATTAGTCAAATTTTGGTAAGCCTAGTAGGTTGCCAGTGGCTAAGTCAATCCTAAAGTTGAGAGGTGTAGAAATGGGCTCAGGCACTATTTCGGCTCTTCCTTAGGCGTAGAGGTGTTAATCTGTGTACATCAAGGTAAGTACACTGAAGGGGGAAAGCACTGGCCTCTTTATTTTGCTTTTAAAAGTGAATAAGTGGGGAGGGGGGTAGGAGAAGGGGAGGTAATCAACCAAAGACTTTGTATGCGTATGTGCATAACCCATGGACACAGACAATAGGGTGGTGAAGGCCTGGGGCTGGGGGTGGGAGTAGACTGGAGGGGATCAATGGGGGTGGAGAGGGAAGGGGACATACGTAATACTTTGAACAATCAAGAATTATTTAAAAAAATAAGTTAAAAAAAGTGTATAAGCAAGTCGTTAAAGGTCTTTTCATTTCATTACAGTAGTTTTTTTTTTTTTTTTTAAGAAATGTACACATTGTAGTGCTTCAAAAAGAATATCTTTTGGATAGAATCTGATTAAAATTTCATATTCTGAATCATATAATGATTGTTATAAAGTGTTTTCAGTTTCAAAGAGAAGAAGCCATTTGGAAAGCCCACCTAATTAAATCCTACTTTGAAAGTAGTTTGGCCTCTAATTTTGTTTTCTCTTGTGGCAGATCTTTTATATAATACTAGAGGCCTGGTGCACAGATTCATGCACTGGTGGGGTCCCTCGGCCTGGCCTGCGGGGATTGGGCCAAAACCAGCTCTCCGACATCCCCTGAGGGGTCCCAGATTGCGAGAGGGTGGTTTTTGGGTGATGCATCTCGGAATCGGGCTCCCTCTTCTCTGATTCCAGGTGCATCACCCGAGAACTGCAGCTATCAAGTCACTGCAGCTTGGCACTTCTGCGTTGAGCATCTGCTCCCTGGTGGTCAGTGTGTGTCATAGCTACCAGTTGGAGTGTCTGCCCCCTGGTAGTCATTGCACGTCATAGCTACTGGTTGGATTGTTGCTTAGGCTTTTATATATAGAGATCCAGTGCACAAAATTTGTGCACTGGCGGGGGGCGTCCATCAGCCCGTCCTGCGCCCTCTCACAGTTCAGGACCCCTAGGGAGATGTCTGACTGCTGGATTAGGCCCGATCCCCCACTCCCTGATCCCCCTGGGGATTGGGCCTAATCCAGCAGTCAGACATCCCTCTTGCAGTCTGGGACCCCTTGCTCCTTACTGCCCACCTGCTTGCTGCTCCTTACTGCTCCTTAGTGCTGCTGCAGAGGCTGCTGAGGCAGGAGAGGCTCCCACCACCGTCGCTGTGCTTGCCAGCCATGAGCCCTCTTCTGGCTGAACGGTGCTCCCCCTATGGAAGCATACTGACCACCAGGGGGCAGCTGCTGCATTGAGCTACCAGTTGGAGCATCTGCCCCCTTGGGGGGATGTCCAACTGCCAGTTTAGGCCCGATCCCTGGCTCCTAACCACTCACCTGCCTGCCTGCCTTAACCACTCTGCCTGCCTGCCTAATCCCCCTAACTTCCCTGTCTTGCGGCCTGGTCGCCCCTATTAACTTTTTTTTTAAAATCTTATCCCCTTCACACACAATTGTATTCAACTTCCTTATTGGCTTCTCCCTCTCACACAATTTTTCTCTCTCCTTTATGTAACACATTTTCCTACTGACTCATCATTTATAAACTTTTCTTTCCTCCTTATTTCCTACTTCTGTTCCATCATCCTTCTTCCCATCTTTCTCCTACCCTCGCTCCCTCCCCACATTTCTTCTTTCCTTTATATGCCTACCTATTCTTTTTATTTCTTATTTTTAAATATATTTTTAGTGATTTCAGAGAGGAAGGGAAAGGGAGAGAGATAGAAACATCAATGATGATAAAGAATCATTGACTGGCTGCCTCCTATACACCCGCCCTCGCACCCTGGAGATTGAGCCCGAAACCCAGGCATGTGCCCCTGACCGGAATCGAACCTGCGACCCTTCAGTCCGCAGGCTGATGCTCTATCCACTGAGCCAAACCGGTTTCGGCATCTTTTTTCTTTTCTGACTCCTACTTTTAAAATCTGTCCCCAGTACACAACTATACTTGATTTTCATTATAGCTCCTACAGTTCACTCATACATCCTCTTTCCTTCTTTAACTCTGCTCTCTACTGGTTTCTTTATAAAGTTCTTCCCTCCCTCCTTTTCTTCTTAAGGCTTCTGTTCACGGGGGTATTAACCCCCAGCCCAGGGCTCAGCCCCGGCCAAGTGTTTGCCACCCCTGCCCTCCCCACTGCCGTCCTGCTCGCATTCCCTGCCCGGGATGCCTGGCCCAGCGAGGTGGCCGAGGCCCACATGGCCAGGGTGCTGCCGCCGAGAAGCAGGAGCACCTCCGCCCAGAAGGCCTCGGACCATCCACCACTCCATCCTGGACCCGTGGATGCCTGGACCCGTGGGTGCCCTGCCAATGGCCTGTGTTGGAGGCCACCGTCCTCCTCCTGTGTCTCACGGGGCTCCTGCCCCACCCCTTGCCAGACACACCTGCTCTCCCCACCCCCTGCGGTCACCACCCTCTCCCGTGTGCACCCCCGCGTTTCCTTCCCTTTTTCGTTTCTGCATCTTTTTCTTGTTCCTTTTCTGTATTTCTGTTTCTCCTCTCGCCTGTCTCCTTGCAGGCCTGCCTTCCTCTCCCTCTCCTTTCTTACCCCCTCCTATCATATCCTATCCTACCCTGGGCCTTGCAGCTGCCTGAGCAGAGGGCGGGAATACAGCCTGCTGATCTGGTTGTGATGTTACGCTGTAACAGATAATTTGCATATTTCTCTATTAGTATAGATAGTCTCTGATTTATATTGACTTTCAAAATGTTTTCATTTTTCTTAGGAAAACGGGAAATCATTTTCACAACTTCATTAGTTGGCAAGATCTGAGAGCTATTGAACTTGTAAAATCTTGGAATAGTTCTCTTATAATGAAGGTAATATTTTTCTTCTCTGCAATTGGATATTACTGGTTTTCCCTGTAAATGCCCTTTAACTGTAGACTTAATTGTATAATCTCATACCTATGCTGTTTTTGGACATTATACAAGAATACACACATGCACACTACCAAACCAGTAAATTTAATAATAGTTATCCAAAAGTGTATGTGGTAGACTGAAGTGCTTAACAACTACACTTCAAGAAGTCTTGAGGAAGATTTGAGGTGGACTAGGGATTCATATGCTAGTGAGAATTCACGTTTCCATTCCTGGAGAAATGGAAAAAATATAGACTATGCTCATAAAAGATACAGCAATGTCCAAATTTCATCATCTTTTGTTATAAAAGTGGAGAATATATAGTAAGATAGCCAACTAGCTGACTGCCATATGCTCTTAATATAACACCTGGCACATAGTAAGCAAGTGATGATGACAGACATAGTAGCATCCACACCATCTCACTCCTGGGTGGGGAACTGAGTCAGGGGAAAGAAAATTTTCCAGCTTGTCAACTGTGGTGAAACTCACAATATTTGGTGTTATAATGAATGTTGCATATTGATTATTTTAATACTTCTAATGCTGCAAAGTTATATGTCTTCTCAGCTAGGGTGCCCACACCAGCCAGTGCAGAGGAGCACCAGTTTTACTTTTTAAATATTTGGGGACATTAATTTTATATAAAAACAAATATGAATATACTATAGAATATGACAGCAATGCATGAGTGAGACATTGTGATAATCTCACACACACTGATTTTTCCTTTTTTTTAGTTTAAAATATAAAAATGCACCTTGCTGTAATAACTTGTGAGGCTGAATACAGAGAGGTGCTGTTTACAGGAAAGACAGTATTTAAGGTGTTGAAAGTGGTTATAAGAAGTCATGGATTCTAAATGGTACAATTTTAAATTATACTATTTGTGTGTAATTTTATACCTTAATGCAGCGGTCACCAACTGGTGGTCTGCGGAATACTAGTGGTCTGTGAGGTCTGAAAGGTTGGCGATCACTGGTTTAAGGAAACCTTTGGAGCAGAGGTTGCCAACCGGTGGTCCTCGGACCACTGGTGGTCCATGAGGCCTGAAAGGTTGGGGACTGCTGCCTTAATGTATCATTTTAGTTTTTAATAGGTCAATTTATCCAACGTTCTGAGTCATGACTAGTTCCTTCCAATAATATGCTGAACAGGAGTGGTGAGAGTGGGCATCCCTGTCTTGTTCCTGTTCTTAGGGGAAATGGTTTTAGTTTTTGCCCATTGACTATGATGTTGGTTGTAGGTTTGTCATATATGGCTTTTATTATGCTGAGGTATGTTCCCTCTATTCCCACTTTGCTGAGGGTTTTTATCAAGAAAGATTTTTGGATTTTGTCAAATGCTTTTTCTGCATCAATTGATATGACTGATTTTTATCTCGCGGTTTGGTTATGTGATGTATCGTGTTTATTGATTTTCAGATATTGTACCACCCTTGCATCCTTGGAATAAATCCCACTTGCTCATGGTGTATGATCTTTCTGATGTAATGCTGGATCCAGTTTGCTAGGATTTTGAGGATTTTAGCATCTATGTTCATCAGGGATATTGCCTTGTAATTCTCTTTCTTTGTAGTGTCTTTATCTGGTTTTTGGATTAGGGTAATTTTGGCTTCATAGAAAGAGCTTGGAAATGTTCCTTTCTCTTGAAATTTTTGGAATAGTCTGAGGAGGATAGGTTTTAGTTCTTTGAATGATTGGTAAAACTCCCCTGTGAAGCCAGGGCTTTTCAATTTCCTCCATAATTATAGGCCTATTCAGATTTTTTATTCTTTCTGATTGAGTTTTTTTATTTTAATATATTTTATTGATTTTTCACAGAGAGGAAGGGAGAGGGATAGAGAGTTAGAAACATCGATGAGAGAGAAACATTGATCAGCTGCCTCCTGCACACTCCCTACTGGGGATGTGTCCGCAACCAAGGTACATGCCCTTGACTGGAATCGAACCTGGGACCCTTCAGTCTGCAGGCCGACGCTCTATTCACTGAGCCGAAACGGTCAGGGCTCCGATTGAGTTTTAGAAGGTTGTATTTTTCTAGGAATATGTCCATTTCTTCTATATTAATCAATTTGTTGAAATAGAGTTGTTCATAGTATTTTTTTTGCTATGTATTTCTGTGGGTTCTGTTGTTACTTTGCCTCTTTCATTTCTGATTTTGTTTATTTGGGTCCTCTCTCTTTGCTTCTTGGTGAGCCTGGCTAGAGGCTCGTCAATCTTGTTTATTCTTTCAAAGAACCAGCTCTTGTTTTTGTTGATCTTTTGTATTGGTTTTTTGGTTTCTGTCATTTATTTCTGCTCTGATCTTTATTATCTACTTCTTCAACTCACTCTGGGCTTTTCTAGTTGCTCTCTTTCTAATTCTTTAAGTATTAGAGTTAGATAATTTATTACCAATTTTCTTGTTTTTGGGGTAGGCCTGTAATACAATGAACTTCACTCTCAGGACTGCTTTCACTGTGTCCCATAGATTTTGGATTGTTGTGTTTTCATTGTCATTTGTGTTCAGGATGTTTTTTTTTTTTTCTTCTTTGATCTCTTTGGTAACCCAATCATTGTTTAATAGCATGCTATTCAGCTTTTAAGTGTTTGAATTTTTTTATTGTTTTTATTGTAGTTGATTTCTAATATTATGCCATTGTGGTCTGAGAAGATGCCTGATATGATTTCAATCTTATTTATTTGGAGAGAGACTTTGCCTATGACCCCATATGTGGTCTATCTTTGAAAATGTCCCATGTGAACTTGAGAAGAATGTATATTCTGTAGCTTTGGGGTGAAATGTTCTGAAGATGTCAATTAAGTCCATGTGATCAAGTGAGTCATTTAGGATTGATGTTTCTTTGTTGATTTTTTGTTTAGAGGATTTGTCCAATGGTGATAGTGGGTTATTATTTCCATTTGCCTGAAAGATATTTTTCCATCCCTTCACTATCAGTCTGTGTGAGTCCCTTGTTCTGAGGTGGGTCTCTTATAGACAGCATATAAGGGTCATGTTTTCTTATCCATTCAGCCACTCGATGTCTTTTGATTGGAGCATTTAATCCATTTATGTTTAAGGTTATTATTATTCTTTGGATCCTTTTTTATTTTTATGTCTGTTTTCTTTCTTTCCTTTCTATTTTTTTGTATTTACAGCTGTCCTTTTCACATTTTTTTACATTGCTGGCTTGGTATTGATAAACTCCATTAATTCTTTTTTGTCTGCAAAGCTCTTGATTTCCCTTTCAATTTTGAATGATAGCCTTGCTGGATAGACTATCCTTGGATTTAGTCCCTTGCTTTGCATCATTTTGTATACTTCATTCCATTCCCTTTTGGCCTGATTTACTTCTATTGAGAAATTAGTTGATAATCTCATGGGAGATCCCTTGTAGGTAACTCTCTGTCTCTCTTGCAGCCTTTAAGGTTCTCTTTTGTTAATGTTTGCCAGTGTAATTATTTCGTTTCTCGGTGTGGGTCTTTTTGGGTTCATCTTGTTTGGAACTCTGTGCTTATATGACTTTTTCTTTCCCCAAATCAGGGAAGTTTTCTGTCATTATTTCTTCAAATAGGGTTTCTAATCCTTGCTCCTCTTCTTGTCATTTTGGCATCCCTATTATATGTATGTTACTTCATTTTATGTTGTCCCAAAGCTCCCTTAGGCTCTCCTCCTGCTTTTTATTTTTTTTCTCCAATTGCTGTTCAGATTGTTTCTGCCCTGTCTTCTAATTCGCTAATGTAATCCTCAGCTTCTTCTAGTCTACTGTTGAAATCTTTCATTGTGTTTTTTTATTATACCTGTGTCATTCTTTATTTCCTCTTGATTCTTATATAAGTTGTTGATTTTCTCATCCAGCTGGTTTAGAAACTGTATGACCCTTACTCTCAATTCTTTTTCTGACATATTACATGCCTTCATTTTATTTAGTACCTTTTCTGTTGACTCCTCCTTTTTTTCTCTTTGGGTGTTGTTTCTTTGTCTCCCCATTTTTGCTTTCAACAAAGGATTTAGACTTCATGTCGCCTGAGGCCTGTGGCTGCAGCGACAGGCTTCCAGGAGGGTCATGCTTTTAGAGACTCTCTGGAGGGCCCAGGTACCAGGACACATGGTTCCCAAGGTTGAAGCCACAGGATTGGCAGGTGGGTTGCACAGTCTGAGACTTGACAGCAGGCCCTGTTACCGGTACGCACAGGGCCAGGGTTGAAGCGGTGGGCTTGTCGGGCAGGTCGTACAAGTCCCAGACTCGCCCGTGGGCTTAGATGCTGGGATGCATGGGGTCCGGGTTTGAAGTGGTGGGCTTGACTGGTGGGTTGCTCAGTGCAGGGCCCAGGTTTGAAGCGGCAGGAAGGTGGGATGCGAGTGCACTGCAGACTCACAGGAGCCTGAGGCCAGGGAAGCTGGAGTCCCTGTGTTCATGGTTCGACAGCTGAGGTAGCAGGTCTTTGGCTGGAGTGGCTGTAGAGTCCAGGGTGGTGTCCGAGGCCAGTCTGGGTGGAGGTGAGGCTGGGCTCCTATTCACAGCAGCTCTCCCTTTCAAGATGGTGTGGTTTCTGTGTCAGAGCCAGCCACCCCGGCAGTGATTGCAGCGATAGCAGAGTCTCCTGCCCATTTAGGAGAGCCTGGTCCGCCAGCCCCTGAAAGTCCTACAGGATATAACTGTCCCTCACTCACACACACACCACACACATCCACACACTTCCCTTTTGGTCCCTCACTCACTTACACTCTCTTCCTCACTGCCACCCTTCCAGCCGCCGTCTTGACTCTCTCAATGTTTTTCTTATTTTAACATCTTTGACATTAGGTTACATTTTGAACCATTAATTGTATCTTAATATTGTGTCATAATTTAACTTGCAGGATTTTTTTCTTTTTTGGTGATACATCAAATTGCAATTCCTTTTACAATCAGTGTCTTCTTAGATGATCTCATTTGTTGATTACTTTTTTTCTGTCCTTTGCTAATAGAT